AATAATTGCTTATATATAAATATGTTGTTGTCATAATTTATTGCTGCAGGCTTTAAGATAAAATTCATTTCATATGGACATAATGAAGTAGCAGACTTAATATCGAAATGCATTAAGAGAAAGCATAAGTTACACAAATTTGATTTATATAAGCAATTTATTTTAGAATTTGATTTATTTATAAATTCTTTAATGTAATTTGCTGTTAACGACCTTTCAACGTCTCAAGTCAGTAAATATCGCAAGCCATGTATTTGTATGTATTAGTACTATTGAATCATCGGTATGTAACTAAGTGCATCGACGCTCTCGCACTTTGCAGTTGTGTGCCATTGGGCAAACAGAAAAGGAGGTCACTGACTCACTCAGCTTGAATCCTCAAATGATTACAGCATAGCAAGAGCAGGATGCCAAACACGAAAGCAGGAGTCGAAGGCGAACTCTGCTAATGAGAGAAACGAAAAGTTCCTCAAATAGCTTCACAAGACAAGCTTCAAAAATGTTGTATATGAAGCCTTGTTCACAAGGTGATTAAAAATAATCTACGAATTTCAAATTTATTAAGTATAAAGTATATATAATATAAGCTCGCATGCAGTATCTCAACAGCAAATTTGAGCAGGACTTTAGCTACACATTTATACAAACGCATAAGCTTATATAGCAACAAAATTCACACATTCCAAAAACTGTTTATTATTATGTACATTATGCATAGCTGTATAATTTAGTTGGAGAAAAGTTGCTGCCGGAGTGCAGGTAATCCGGGCTAAGCTCCCAGCTGTTGCCCTCAAGGACTCCACATACCAAAAATTAGTTGTGCACTTGACTATTTTTATTAGACTTGAAGCTTGCAGCACTATGGGAAGTAAGCCTCTCTCGCTCTTCACTCTCTCCATCTCGCTTTCACCGCACAGACAGCTGTCAATGTGCTCAACTAAGTGCTGAATAATTTTATAAAATCTGCAACTGTCGTCGCTTATAGTCGGGCATAAAGTTCGGCTGACAAAAGTTTTACCCACTGGGCATTTGGCATGGAGGTGCCGCCTCCTCCATGGCCACGCCCCCATTTGCTACCTGTTTACGTGCTTTGCATTTATGTTGCAGCTGCTGCCAACTGTTGGGATTTCAGCTGTCGAAATTGCATTACGCAGCGCATGTGGCACAAAGTCGTTGCAAGTGCCACACGCACCTGCCCCGCTCTGCCCCACCCTGCCTCGCTCATTGTTTAATAAGCAAATTAATGTTTGCTCTGCGTCCGGCGACTGTGGCGCCTCCACCCACAGCTTAGATTATGCATGCGCCGGCCTGCAGCACTGCAGCAAATCGCGCCACATTTTGTTGCAAATTAATTAAACTCGGGCAACGTTTTGCCTGTCAGCCAATTGACTTTTACTTAGGCCAATGCCAATGTTAGCCAGGTGGGCGACATCGACATGGATATGGATGTGGATGTGGATGTGGATGTTGCTGTCTCTGGCTATGGCTGTAGCTATGGCTGCGGCTGTCGATGTGGACCTGCACGCCATGTGGAGGCGTTGGCTTTCACGTCGCTCTTCTAGCTGCGGGTGAAAGTAACGACATCTCTGCGCTGTGCATTGCGGGTGCATTGAACCCAGAACCAGAGGCAAAAAAAAGGCWTCATAAATCTCGTCCGCTCGCTCGCTCGCTCTCGGCTTGGCTCGGCTCTGTCTGGAGTGGATCGCAGGGGGCATTGCACTTTGGCTGGCCAACAATGCACACGGCCCCTCCCATCCCCTCTCCTCCGCTCCTCACCCTCCGCTCTCCTTCACTCCTTGCTCGCCCTCTCCGTCTACCTTCTCACTTCAACAAAATTTGCGCAACATAAATTATGTTTTGTAAGAATGTTTTTTTGATGCCGTGCTCCCTCTCCCTTTCTCACTCTTTCCCTCTCGCTCTGTGTTGTCCTGCTCTTTCTGGTCTCAAGCTGTTTGCCTGGCACTTGACACCTCTCAATGACATCGTGTGCGCAAACTTTAGCTTCCTGCTGCCCCTTCCTGCAGCCTCGCCTTGCTCACCGATTCGTTCTGCCACGCCCTGCTCCTGCCCATAAATTTGTGTGCTTTTTTTTCCCTTGTAATATTTTGTATGTTTAAGCTGGCAGATAACATTTTCGCAGACATGCAACTTTAGTTTAGTTGGCCCAGCACCAGCTAAAAGTGACCAGCGAGAACAAATTTATATTTAACCTAAATCATTTTTATTTCACATGAGAGTTGGCATTAAATGAGTTTTGTATATAGACTATATCATTTATGACGTTATTCAAACATATTATTTCTTATGCTGTATTTGTTGCATTACAAAAAAAAATAAATAAATAAATGAATTAACTTAATAAAATAATTTCACTCTAAATTATTAATATTAATTTATATATTTTTTTTAAATAATTTATTATACATATATATTTTTAAATTTCAAATAATAAAATTTTGGCATACTTTTGTTTCCTTATTCTGTTAACATATTATTTCGACAATCGCTCGCTCTCACTCTTCCCTTCTCTCTCTCTCTCTCCTCTCTCTCTCTCAATGTCTCTTTGTCTCAGAAGACTTCGCCCGCTCATAATTTCTGTAGCTTGGCTTAACTTTTCTTAGATAATTAAGCGTTGTCTCACCTACTCCATGCGTGGGCGTGTCTTCTACTCTGAACTACCTTCTTCTTTCTGTTGCCTCCTTGCCTCGTGTGTGTATTTGTGTAAATTTTCAAGTCGAAAAATCCCCCGTCAGCAAGCGCAGCAAAAGTGTATTTCATAATTAAAAGCCATCTAGGAAGGGCTTATATATAATGAGAAGTATTTCCTGTTTGGCTGTGGCTGTAGCAAATGTGTAGCAAAAAAGGCAACAGTAGTTTTAATTTTATGCACAACTCCATGAAAGGAGAGACTTTGCACATGCAAGTCAAAGTCAGGACTTTGCTGAAGCCAAATTGAGTGTATGAAATGAATTTGAACCTAAGTTGAAAGTTTTCAGAAATTCCATGTGCGAAGACGAAATTCAAAGAAAAAAGTACTTCTTTGTTTGAGGAATGTAAGAATTTTTCTGTAATTTTACTCACATATAAATAGGTCAAAGGTAATAATAAAATTTTAAGAAAATCCCCTCAATTTAAACAGTAGTGAGAGAAAAAAAGAAGTGAAACAACATCAAAGATGATTTAGATACATTTATCAAATGCAATTTAAATACCTTTTCCCACACGTTATACCTCTTTGAAACTAAAATCCTTTTCTTACAAAAACTTTTCCGGGCAACGCCGGACAGCTCTACAGTTTCAATTACATCATACGTTTGCTCTCTTTCTCATTCAAAATCTGGCACTTGCCAACACTGTCAATTAGTGTCAATAACATAAATGCTTGCATACAATACCTAACAGAAAAATTAAACTACATTTTATATGAGCCCTTCGTCCTTCGTCCTTAGTCCTCAGTACTTAGTCCACAGTCCTCAGTCCTCTGTCCTTGGCTGCTCTGCTCAGAGCGCTCGAGTGCTCCGGGTGCCCACTACAAAGCAATAACTGACTAATTGCTCGAGTCCAAAGTGTGCACACACGAGAGAGTGCCGACTACATTTGCATTTGCATACTTATATAGTATATGGCACAGGCTTAGCCCATTAGGGGCGTGGGGCTGGAGGGAGGAAGGCCTGTGACGCCATCTTGCAAAAATGTATAACAAAGTGCAGCCGAGAGAGTCAAAAACTCGCATTCATATGTATTTATGGCATATATCATGCTATGGGCAGGCGGCTCAACCACTTTGCAGCAATTTTAGATGCGGTTGCTATTCAAATATCAACAACAGCCAGAAACGCAAAAACAACAACAGCAACAATGCAATAGCAAGTAACAGCAGCACTTTGCACTTCCGTTTCCGGCAATTATTGTGCTGCTTCAGCTCTAGCAGCTTGAGCTTAGCAGCCTGTTCGTCTCTTGTGCCTGCTGCAATTTTCTTCAATTTTATATTTTGCAAACACACGCACACGCACACACACACACACGTGCATGTTGCCTGCTAAAAGGGGGGCGGAGCACTGGGCGTGTCTGTGAGCGACATGTCGAGCATGCAAAACTTTTTCAATTCGTTGCATTCAAAAATTTGCATAAACATTCCACCAAAACTTTAGTTTAAAAAGAAAGTGTGGTCGAGTGGAGAGAGTGCATGGATGAAGGATAGCAAAGGAGAGCGAGAGAGAGAGAGAGAGAGAGAGATCTATATATAGGGAGAGAAGGAGTGAAGGAGAGTTGTATAAAAAGTCAAATATTTATTATATATGTATGCCTTATGAAAAGTTGTATATACAAAAATCTAATATGCGTAGCTCTTATAGTCTGGGGAATATGTTTGAAGAGCTATATTACTAAATCATGAGATTTATATAAATTAAAGAAATGAGATAATATTTATGTATAGAAAAAATTTGTCTAGCGGATATGTGCCAAAAAAATTAAAATAAATAAATAATAA